GAGAGAGAGAGAGAGAGAGAGAGAGAGAGAGAGAGAGAGAGAGAGAGAGAGAGAAAGAGAGAGAGAGAGAGAGAGGCCGGCGAGGGGCTATCATCTTGCAGGCGCCCCCGCCACCGAAGCCCGACCCCCATGGCGTGCACTCTTGCTCGGCGCCACCCCGAGCGATTTCAGCGATGGCCTCAGCGGTCACGGTCGGCGGTCGCAACCGCAGCGGTCCCCATTTTTGCCGCCGAGGTCACATCCCCGACCGTGGCGTGCACGTTCACAACCGTGGGCTCGAGAAAAGCGTGTTGGAGGGGGCGTGCCACTTTCTCGTTCCTGAGGGACGGGGCCAGGGGGCGACATCAGGTGGCGACATCAGGGGACGACATCGGACTGAGGCGACTCGAGGGGTGACATCGGGGGATGACATCGGCGGATAAACCGATGGAGGGGGGTAGGGGACAAGCCGTTTCTTCAACATGATTCGGGGGGCGGGTGGCTCGGGGGGGGCAGACTTCATCCCTGTTTCAGACGCTGAGATGGCGAAGCTGGGGAGGGCCTCATGCGTCTGGAAATATGTTACGCTGGGGCAACCGATGGGCATATGGGAGAAGATGCACGGTGACCGCAAGTTGCGATGCAACTTGTGCAAGCACCTGTGGCAGGGGAACCAATCGAAGGTTGCGAGGCACTTCTGCCAGTTGAAGAAGTGCCCTGTTGCACAGTTCGATGTGCTCGTTGACATTTGGAACGACACGGACTACAAATTCGATTTCAGGCATCACAGATCCATTCGCGTGTACATGGAGGAGCACGACATCAAAGACTCGCGAGCAGTTGCTGGAGGTGCACGTTCGCGAGCGTCACCTTCCACTGCAGGAAGGGACGAAATCCAGGACGTGCTGGATGAGGCTGAGGAGCGAGAGGGGGTGGAGTTGCCAGGGGAGGAGGTCATAATGACGTCACGTGGGGAGGACCCTGCGAGGCGACAAGGGAAGAGGCCAATGGGGGAGGCAGACCAGGCTGCGACCCGACCGGGGAAAAGGGTGCGGCAGAGCAAGATCGACGAGGTCTACGATGCAGACAAGCAGTCGATTTTCAACGATAAGTTTCTGCAGTGGATCTATGACTCAGGTATTCCATTCAACGCCTTCAGGAGGCAGTCGTGGACAGAGGTCCGGAAGGCGGCAGAGGAGATGCCTAGAGGAGTGCGAATGTGATTTCCTCCCTTTTAGGAAATCGGCGGAGATGGAGTTCCTTCGCAGAGGGCGAAGGTGGCAGCCACTCTACAGGAGGTTCGAGAGATGTTCTGTCACAGCGGCGCCACCATCTTGTTGGATGGTAGGAAATCGCGTGATTCACGACCCATCGTGAACTTCCTTGCCGCGGGTGCAAATGGCGCCCTCCCGTATGCCACCGTTTGCCGCGACGGTGCTGTGCCGAAGACGGGCACCATTGTTTTCCGCAGGTGGAGGGCCATCATTGAGTCCTTCCCTGCGAAGGACGTCATAGCCTTCTGCACAAGACTCCGCTAGTAACTACACAGCGGCCGCTCGTTTGCTCGCCGCAGACCCTGATCGAGTTGTCCGGCGCATCACTTGGCTCCCCTACTCAACCCATGTCTGCAACTTGATGTTGTCAGACATTGGGACACGAGTGGATTGGGCAGTTGACACCATCATCCGTGCACGAGCGATGAAATCGCACGGCGCAGCTCTCGCCCTTTACAAGAGGAAGAGCCCGCGCGTTTCGCTCATCCAGCCAATGGAGACTCGTTTCGCGTCAGTTTTCATGATGCTGACCTGTCTCCTTGGGAGACGCGACTCTCAGGAGGCAATGTTGCATGACGACGCCTGGGCGAGTATCCCGTGGTAGCGGAGGCTGCTGCCCCAGGCGAGATGGGTGCGTCTCCAGATTCGAGATGGTGAGTTCTGGCGGCTCGTGGAGTTCTTGATCCGTGTGATGGAGCCCATCCATCAGCTCCTGAGGCAGATGGACAGAGGAGGGATTATGATGTCCATCGTCTATGAGAGGAGCCGTCATCTTGTTCAGCTTCTCACGAAGTTGGACTCTGTGCCAGCTGATCTTCTGACCCCGTGCGTGCGAGAGGTCAGGATGCGGCTCATGCACTTGTTGGAGCCCGCGCAAGCTGCCGCTCATCTCCTGAACCTCCGCCGAAGGTCTTTGAGGTACTACGAGTCCGTCCACACCCCTGGAGGATGCTGAGGTTGTACGGGAATGTGATCGTTTTCTCCTTGCCCAGACTGGAGGTGATTCAACAGGCAGGGATTACCTCGTTGTCCGTGACCAGATGCGTCGATTCCATGCGCGCAGAGGAGAGTGGGGTGATTGGCTTGTATCGGATGCCGAGGTGGAGGATTGTCAGGGAGATCAGGAGACTCACCATTGCGTGGCATGGTGGTTTGCCCACGGGAGTGCCCACCCAGAGTTACGTGCTATCGCTATCCGTGTGATGCACATGTGGACGTCAGCCTCTCCTGCGGAGAGGAATTGGGCGGCTCATGAGCGCATTTAGACGGCGAAGCGGAGCAAGCTTGGCTTCGCCAAGCTAGCACAGCTGGTTGAGATTACGACAAATCTCAAACTGGCTTCGTGTAGGCAGCAGGGTGGCGGTTATGTGCTTCCGTGGGTCATGAATGGCATCGACACCGATAGACGGTGGCAGGAGGAGGACGAGGACGGCGGTGACCCCGAGCTTGATGTGTGGGGGGCGAGACCTGCTGGTACCTTCACCGATCGAGAGATCAGGACGCAGATCGAGGTTTTTCGCAAGGACAGCACAAGCCGTCCACGAGAGGTTTCAGATGTGTTCGGGGATAGGGCGGCCACTCTGCTCCCTTTCGACCATGTGCCTCGTCCCCCAGCCCGGGGAGTAGGAGAGGGTTCTGCGGCAGTCGTTCAGGATGGCGAGGACGATTGGACGGACGCAGAGGACGTTGCGGTGGGCACATACAGGACGACGGAGCAGGTTTACTTCACGTACGGGGGCGGATCGGACGGCCATGCACCACGTCCGTCCGTCATTACGAACGATGTTGCAGGCGGGGCACAGGGTAGCGCCACTCGACGACCCCAAGCGGGTCTAGGTCGTGGCGCCGTTGATCGCGATGGTCCCCCTCGCGCGAGGAGAGTTTTAGGGGTGGACTCGAGCGACGAGGACGAGGGCGAGGCAGATGGCGTTGAGCGACCCTCCCAACGAATGACTCCCCAACCCTATCAAACCCCCAAACCAACGCAGAACAAAAGAAAAAAAAAACATTGTGTGTTGTGCAAGTGGAACCCCCAAAACCCAAGGGCCAAGGATGCATGGCGGTTTTATTGTCCTTCTGTCACGTTGTGTGTATAAAGTACTATGAGCCCTAATCCTCTCCCAATGATTCACCCCCGCCAACCCGCTTCCAACCAACAAGTTGAATGAGCCCTCTTTCTCTGCCCCCCCCAAAACCCCCCTCCCCCCCGACCCCGGTCCCCCCAATCCCGTCCCAACGAATGGCCCCCCGGTCCCCCACGAAGTTACTAACACCTTCTGTAGAAATGACCCCCCCACCCTCTCCAACCCCTAAACCAACCCGGAAAAAAATAAAATAAAAACATTTATGACTGTGTCCATGAAGTGGACCCCCTAGAACCCAAGCCTGCACCGTCGAACATTGAAAAAAGGGGTCGCTCATTTTTTTAATACCCCCCTAAGCAAACCCCAATTTGGACCCCCCCGTTTTAAACTTTTTTTCATTTTTTTCCTTGGGGGGTGCAGGGCCTCGTTTGCGCCCCCGGAATCCCGACCCCAACCTCCGACACCCCCTCCCCCGCGCCCGCGGCGTGCCTTCCCCGACCGCGACCGCGGCGGTCATAACCGCGGGCTCGCGGCCTCGACCGCAGGCCGCGGTTATGCCCGCGGTGACCACTGCCGCTAGGGATACATAGCCATTACGGTCATCCCTCTACGCATCTGCTACATGTCCAGTTGGGCAATGTATGTAAAGCCAAGGATCCGCAATGTGATAAAAAGGACTAAATGGACAATGCGATGTTAGTGGAATCTCAACAAGCACTGTACATCCTCATACATACAAAATGACACTTTGTAGCGCAGTGGAAGACCTAGATATAAGCCCTGACCTGATCGGGACTGGCCTCTCTCACGTTGTACAAGACAGCGCAGCGGAATGATAGAGCCCAATCAATGTCTCAATGCAGACCGGCTCATTGAACCGGAGTGGACAGGATGGTACTGACGTCGCTTAGCGCCTGCTGCGCAACGGGCTTGCGCTGGCCGCAACCGCTAACACTCGTTGAGGAGTGAAGCTGCGAAAGGAGGAGAGGGTGGTGAAGGAGGGAGAAGAGACGAGAGCAGAGGAAAGCCTGGGAGGGGAGTCGATCTAGCCATAGCACGACAAGGAGGTTGCGCGAGCAAACGAAGGACGGGAGCCGAACGAGGGAGCGGGAAGTGAGGGAGGGAGAAGAGACGAGGAAGAGCAGTGGAAAACCTGGGAGGAGAATCACGTCGGCCAAGCACGATAAGGAGGCAGTGCGAGCGAACGAAGAAGGAGGGCAGACCACCACAGCGGGAGTTCCGAGTTTGAAGATGAAGAACCGCGATAGCTGAGCCAAGGTAGGCGCGGAGTATTCCTTCATCACAACAGAAGCTGACGTCCGGAAGATTAGCAGAGGAGCGCGACAAAGAAAACCGGCGAGATCGTGTCGCGCCTTGCACCCTTGGGGCCCCGTGTAAGGAATAGAACGTGGTGAGGGTGGCGAGGTTGTGTGCACGATCGCCGCGACACTGGCAACGATCGCTACGAGAAACACAACCGCCATGACCAAGACCTACTGACGACACGAAAACGTGAAGGTCAAGTTACCCATCATCACTGACCCGGCGAATGACCCAACAACATCATCCTTCCACCCATCAACCTCATCCCGCCAATCCCTCCGACACCCCCGTTCCCAAGAAAACCACTCTCACATCCCTGTCCTCTCCCCTCCCCTGTCCACCTCTCCCATCCGCTCCCCAGTCCTGACTACTACATCCCGACTGCCCCCAACCCATCTCGACCTTGCCTTCACGCGATCCCGACCCGGCTCCGTCGGACCCCTCCCTCCATCCCTCGCCCATCCCCGACCCCCTCTGCCCATCTCACCTCATCAACCTCGTTTCGGCTCCCCTGATCCCGACCCTGTCCTCGACTCATCCTGCCCCCACCTTTCACGTGATCCTCCCACCCTCTTGGTTGCCTACCCCTTCCCCTTTGATCCCGGCTCCCTCTCCGGCCATCCACTCCGATCCCGGCTCCCCCCCCGTCCAGCCCCAGCCCTGTCCCCGACCCCTGTCTCTTATACACATCTAGATGTGTATAAGAGACAGCCCCCGATCCGCCCACCCTCTCAGCTGCCTACCCCCTCCCCCCACTCTCCGTCCACCTAGTCCCGACTCCGCTCCCCAAACTTCGACAACCTGTCTTCGACGCATCCTGTCCTCGCCCTTCACACGTCTCTCCCCCCTCCGCCCATCCATCCACCCCGCCCCATCCTCACTGCACGATTTTGACAGCCTGCTCTGTTCATTCCCCCGATCCCGATCCTCACTTCCCATTCCCAAACTCCGCCCCGCCTATCCCGCCGTCCCGCTCCCTTCACACGTCTCTCCCCCCTCCGCCCATCCATCCACCCCGTCCCATCCTCACTCCCCGATTTCGACATCCCGCTCTGTTCATTCCCCCGATCCCGATCCTCACTTCCCATTCCCAAACTCCGCCCCGCCTATCCCGCCGTCCTGTTCCCTTCACGCGTCTCTCCCCCCTCCGCCCATCCATCCACCCCGTCCCATCCTCACTCCCCGATTTCGACATCCCGCTCTGTTCATTCCCCCGATCCTGATCCTCACTTCCTGTTCCCAAACTCCACCCCGCCTACCCTGCCCCGACTCTAACTCTGCCTCCACCTTGGTTCGCCGCTTGGCCCCCCCCTCCCGTCTCTACCTCCCGTTCGCATTTCGCCCCCCCGACGCCTGCACCCGTCTCTACCTCCCGTCCTCGTCTCGCCCCCCCACTCCCGGTCCTGATCCCGACCCCCGTCCCACCCCGTCGGCTGCCCAGCCCGCCCCCACTCCCCCGTCGAACTCGATCACCCACCCCGATCCTGACCACCACTCTGGCGCTGTGACGGGGGGCAGTTACCTGACGAAGCCATGGGAGACACGGGACGCATCTGACGTTACAACGGCCCCG